TTCAGCAGGGAGCTAATATCATCCTTGTTTGGGAACTGAAGCACAGTGACAGCGAGTTCATGTGCATGGCTAGCTGCTGTGAACCCAAGCTCTGCTTAAAGCCACCTCAGTGGCAGGAGAGAAGACGACGTGGCAAGCCAGGTTTGAGGATGCCTGTGTGTAGCAAAGTTGTGTGGCTTCTCCATTTAAATCTTAATAAGAAACATTAATTTCCAAATGCCTTCCCAAGAAACGTAATAGATCTGCAATCTAGTAGGCAATTTACTGTCCTCGGAAATTCCTCAAAAAAGGCAGAGTTTCCCCCCATTGTTCATGCACAGAGGAAAAGGTCTACTAGAGTTCCTGCTTGGGCTCACTCCTGTGACTACAAATTTGGCCCTCAGCAACCATCAGACTAAATGTGTAAAAATCATTTTCATTCCAAAGCCGTCTCTACGTGCCTTAAAACAGGCTGTTCACAGCCCTTGCTCCTGAAATCATTTTACTTTTCCTTCTTGAGGGAGAAATTCATTAAAATCTTGGGTGGGGTCTCTAAACATCTGGGGTGACCGATCCTACCAACTAAGAGCCCGGATATGCCTGTGCATGCCTCAAGCCTCTCTGGCTGTAAAACAGGAATGATGACACTTCCTTCCCTCCTCTCACTATCTGTCTGGTTTTAAGCCTACAGCTTAAAACATGCAATGACACTTAACAACTAGTTGCCTTTATTTCAATTAGGACACTTGAGAGGTCCTGTGCTATTAATGAGAACCTATCTGAAAAGCTGCCGAGGCTCTTTCTAAACGCCTTATTTCCATCCTGCCTCACATTGGTGATCTCAGCAGTTTTTAGTACTGTGGTACTGAACCTGGCACAGATTTAACACATCTAACAGCAGGTAAGGGAGGCTTTCCATGTCCATGAATTAAGTGCACATACAGCTGAGGGTGCTGAAGCAGGGAAGGCTCCTCGTAAAGTAAGTATTTAGATTTTCTGTATAGTCAGTGGAGACACAGGTGCCTCTGAAAACCTGTAGTGGGAGATGCCACCAAAATTAGGCACTAAACTCTTCCCATTGAGAGCTAAGGATCTAAGAATATTTCTAATCATGAAATGCGCTAGGATTAGGAGAAATGCATGCAGAAGAAACAGTGCAGGAGGAGAGACTGGAATTGTTCTGTAATGTGAAGGCCATCTGGCAGGGCACAGCTCACCTCCATATGCCTGAACTCTCCCCTCTGCTCCAAAACAAAGTAGCCTAGGCTGTGCTGCCGACTGAGAACAGCCCCTGGCCCAAGCTGTCCTTCAAATCATTCCTGGGAATTTTAGGAGAGAAAGATAGCTGGCATTGGCTGTGCCAGGGAACAGGCTAACTACTGAACTCCTAGAAAAATCTGGAGGGAAGAGACCTCAGTAGGTCATCTACTGCAGCCCTGCCTCTCGTGTTTGTTTAAACTCTCCCAAGACATCTCCAGAGCTAGAGCAATGCTACTTGCCCACCCAGATCAGAGCCGGACCGCAGACGCAAACCCACTGCCAAGTGCAAGAAAGTTGTCTTTGTGTCGCCATGCTCTCATGCCATGAGAGCCTGAAACGCACCACACAGACACAGACACCTTCCCTGGTCTTAATCTGAAGGGACGCCATTTTGAACTAGGCCAAGCATCTGGCCTAAATCTAATATGCCTTGAATGTCTTTTGAGCCATATTAAAATGAACTAGTCCCAGCAATGTTGATGGTATTCTGTCTCAACCTCACATCCAATGTCAATGACAAAGGTGGAACCAAAAGCTCCGATAATTTTGAAGACTGTAGACAAATGTGGCCTTCCAGGAAGT